GAATTCCGCTCCCATTTTCCCTCCGTAAGATTCGGTCGTGATATACGTGGGCACATCTTGGAATTCCGGTAATGCTTTCAGGAAACCTTTCATACATTCGACGAGATCGTGAGCAATCTCCGCGTTTGTTCTCGCGTATCCGCTCGATAACGTGGTGTAACTGAATCCTGTACCAACTGGATTGTCGATGAAGAGGACATTGTAATTTTTCACCTGCGAATTTTTTTTTTTTTTTTTGATATTTTTATCCATAATATCCTAAGATGAACTTTTGAAAAAGAGAATAAATAAATTCTTCTGAATCGAATCTTAAAATTAAATCTAAAGAAAAAAAAAATATATTAAATTTTGGAATTTAAATCAATTTAATTTTCGTGAACGTTAATGTTAACATAATTTTTTCTAAGGTAATCTCGAAATTCCTTCAAACTATAAATATATATATAAATACACACGTACGATTTTCGAAGTTTATTTAAAAAATATAAAAAATAGACGCGTTAATTCTTAATTGGATTTTAATGGATTTCTCGATAATTGAAATTGAAACGTTCGATAAAAATGCGATTAAGAAGATTGATCACTTTTCAACGACCAGATTGCGAAATCAAGTTGTTTCTTTTTGTCCAATAAAACCTGTTAATTATACTCGGAATCGATATCTCTCCCGTTACAACATTCCATTTACACAAAAAGAAGAAGAGAACACGCGATAAAGCACGCGTTCAGACACTTCAGAGTAAATAATAAAAGTTGTTCGTGTTTAAATATGGCGTCGAACAATTGCGCCCCCTACCCAGGAGAAGTTTCTCGGCGTCAAATCGACGTCCAAGGGTCCGAGTTCCTCGAAGTTCCCGTAGGAGGTGGACGATGCTCCCGGCCCACCTTGCAACCAGATAATCAACGGTTTATAATAATAGGAGGACACGTTGGCGGTGGTGTAGTAGAGCCACCAGAACATGTGCGAGGCGGGTCGCACTTTCACGTATCCCCATTCCTGTTCTCCAGGGCCGAATCCTTTTCTCGCTGAAAGAGGAAAATAAAATAAAGATAAAAATTTGACGACGAAACGATTTTATTATTGTAATACGAATTTTCGCGAGAAACATTTTCGAAGAGATTTCGTAATTTATTCGATGTTAAATTTTGAAATCGAAGTGTTAGTGGTTCGATCTAGGTTATTATTTCTAGAAGTAATCAATCATTCACGGTGGTAATAATTTAGAGGGGAAATGAATAGGATAGAATTATAATATATGAATTTTTATCGATAAAAAATTGTTCCTTGTTTATCTTTTAATTTTTCTCTTCTTACAATAATTTCTTTCATCGATCGGGAGAGTTAAAAGGAGTAGGAAGAAAAGATTCAAAGGCAAAAGTAAACAGCTTGAAACGGCGAGTTTCAACTTGGATACTTAGGCATATTTACCGAGATTTAGGATATAGGCAGAGCAAATATAGGAATATACACACGTATATATATATATTTTTCTGCAAAATGAGCGGTCTTAAGTGTTTCCAGTAGCATCGGTCGATTGCGAAATTTTTTTTTTTTTTTTACTCGTATATATAGATAAATACATTATGTAAAAATATCACGTAAGAGAAAAATTTTCGAAAAAATTTTTCCCCCTTTTTATTAATTGGAAGATAATATTTAAATTTAGAAACGACAGATAAAATTTGAATTTAAAATATCCTTTTGGAATTTGCTGGAACAATACTGGATAATACGATCGTTATTTCGAAAATAAATAATAAGGATAAATTATTTCAAACTGTCTATATATATATATATATATATATATTCACTTTTTCCTGTAATTAAATTGTAAAAGTTAACTTTTCTAATATCGTGAGATTAAAAGTAACGATGGATGGTAATTGAAACGAATAATGGTGGCAAAAGTATAGTTACCAAACGCCTCAGAGGCGAAGCAAAGTGCAACGAGCAGTAATATCGCGGGGAATCTCTTCATTGTTGTTGGCCGAATAACAGTCGCACGATGACTATTGAAAATCAATCTCGGATAGATCTTATGGATCGCGTTATCTGTCGTTGTAGCGGTCGATCGATTAGATATACCGATTAATTCTTTCGTTTCCAAGATTTCCCCATTTTTCGGTGCCCCAATCGATTGCGATCGAACAATCGGATTGTGAAACGATTGCAATCGTTCCCTTCTCGGAATAGATAATAGACCAAGGTATAAATAATTTTTGTCCTTATTTTATTTATTCAAATTTAAATAAGTTTAGTGTTAAGCTAAGTTCAAATTGATTTTCAGAAATATTTAAGGAGAATTTTTATTGTTATTTTATTTATTCAAATTTAAGTTTAGTGTTAAGCTAAGTTCAAATTG